AGAGAAGGAGAGAGAGAGAGAGAGAGAGAGAGAGAGGAGAGAGGAGAAAGAAGAGAGAGAAGAAAGAAAGAAAGAGAAAGAAAAGAAAAGAGAGAAAAGAGAAAGAGAAAGAGAAGAGAGAAAGAGAAAGAGAAAGAAGAGAAAGAGAAAAGAAGAAAGACCCACACCCGAACCACACTCACCAGCGAGCAGTTCCACGAGGGCGCTTCACAAGTCGCCAAGACCGCCGACGCCTGATCTCGCGACGCCCAGGAAACCCACACGGCTGTTCTGTTGACCCATCCGACGCCCACGATGTAATGAGAGCTGCGGGCGTGAAGAGAACACTTAAGAGAGCTTGAATAAATTATCAGGACAACTGCAAATTGTACAGAATATTTTGTGCCGAGTGGAAGGCTCTCAGCGAGGGTGCATAGAGGAGTTGTATGTAAAGGAGAGAAGGAGAGGACGAGAGGAAGAGAGGGAGAAAGGAGAGAGAGAAGAGGAGAGAAGAGAGGACGGGAAGAGAGGGAGAAAAAGAGAGAGAAGGAGAGGACGAGAGGAAGAGAGGGAGAATGGAGAGAGAGGAGAGAAAGAGAAAGAGAAAGAGATAGAGAAGACGAGAGGAAGAGAGGGAGAAAAGAGAATGGAGAGGACGAGAGAAGGGGAGAAAAGAGAGTGAGAAGGAGAAAGAGGAAGAGAGGGAGAAAATAGAGAGAGAAGGAGAGGACGAGAGGAAGAGAGGGAGAATGGAGAGAGAGAAGGAGAAAGAGAAGAGAAAAGGAGAAAAATAGAGAAGAGAGAGAAGAGAGACGAGAGGAAGGAGAAGAGAGAGAGAGGAAGGACGAGAGGGAGAAAGAGAGAGAAAGGAGAGGACGAGAGGAAGAGAGGGAGAATGGAGAGAGAGAAGGAGAGGACGAGAGGGAGAAAAGAGAGAGAAAAGGAGAGGACGAGAGGAAAAGAGGGAGAATAGAGAGAGAGAAGGAGAGGACGAGAGAAAGAGAGGGAGAATGAAGAAAGAAGGAGCAGAGAGAAAAAAAGAGTGAGAGATAGAGGGAGAGGGAAAGGATGGGAAGAAGAGAGGGAGAATGGAGAAAGACGGAAAGGAAGAGAGGAAGAGAGGAAGAAACAGAGGTAAAGGACGAGAGAGAGAAAAGGAAAATGGAGAGAGAAGAAGAAGAGAGAAAAGGGAGAGGGAGAGACAGAGTGAGATGGAGAGGATGGAAGGAAGAGAGGGAGAATGGAGAGAGAGAAGGAGAGGGAATAGGGAAAGAGGAGAGAAAGAATGGGGAGAGAAGAGAGAAAAAAGAGGGAGATATAGAAGGAGAGGGAGAGGAAGAGAGGAAGAACAGTGGGAGAGGGGGGTTAAGAGAGGGTTAGAGAAAATAGAGAGAGGGAGAGGAAAAGGGGAGAGGGAGAGAGAATTGACGAAGATAGAGAAGAAAAGGAATAAGGAGAAAAGAGGAGACGAAGAAGGAGGAGTGGGCGAGAGGGGAGGAGAAATGCCGTGCAAGAGGGAGAGGGATAAGAAAATGGAAAGGGGAAAAAGAGAAGATGGAAAGGGAGTGAAATAAAAAAGGAGAGGAAGAAAGACACCGGAAGCGGAACGAGGAAATAAGAGAGGGAAAAACAAAATGATTGAGAAGGAGAGGCAGGGAGAGAGAAGGAAAGAAGGAGAAAAAGAGAAATGAAGGAAGGGAGGGAAAAGAGACAGCGAGCGAGCAAAGAGAAACCAAGATATAAGCAGTAAAGAAATAGAAGAAGCAAAGATCATGAGAAGGGGAAGACAAAAAAAAAAAAAAAAAAAAAAAAAAAAAAAAAAAAGAAGAGAAGAGAGAGAGAGAGAGAGAGAAACGACAAAAAAGAGAAAAAAACGAGAAAGAAAAAATGCGAATAAATAGCATACTGCAGACATTAAAGTTGATCTTAGCTTCTTGTAGTGCATAAGAAACCAACGGAGCGGAAGGAGGGGAAGAGAAGGAGGGGAGAGGAGGAGGGAAGAGGAAGGGAGGAGGGGCAGGGAAGAGGAGGAGGGGAGGAAAAGAAGGGTGAGAAGGCAAGGGAAAAGGGGGAGGGGGATGTGAAGAGGAAGAGGAGGGGGCGGGGGTGAAGGAATGGTGAAGGAGGTGAGAAGGCAAGGGAAGAGGGAAGAAAGGGAGGGAGAAGGAAAGAAAAGAAGGGAGAGGGAAGAGAGGGAGAAGGAAGCGGGAAGGGAAAAGGGAAGAGGAGAGGGGGGGAGAGGAGGACAGTGGGGAGGAAGAAGGGCTAGAAGCAGGAGGGGGAGAACTGGGGGAGATGATGGGAGAGGAGGAGAAAGGGAAGAAGGGAGATGGGAAAGAGGAGGAGAAAGGGAAGAAGGGAGATGGGAAAGAGGAGGAGAAAGGGAAGAAGGGAGATAGGAAAGAGGAGAATGGGGTAGGGAAAGAAGGAGAGAAGAGGAGGAGGAGGTGAGGCAGGGAATGGAGGGAGGGGAAAGAAGGTTGAGAGAAACGGAAGAAAAGAAGGAGAAGAGGGTAGAGTC